TCATCATAGCTCACTGCAGCCTCAAACTCCTGGGCTCAAGTGATCCTCCTGCCTCAGCCTCCCAAGTAGCTGGACTACAGGTGTGCACCACCATGCCCGGCTAATTTTTCTATTTTTAGTAGAGATGGGGTCTCGCTGTTGCTCAGGTTGGTCTCGAACTCCTGACCTCAAGTGATCCTCCCACCTCAGCCTCCCAGAGTGCTGGGATTACAGGCGTGAGCCAGCAAGTATTTCTTTATGAACACCCTCATACTGACAGCATGGAAGCTAAAATTTTCCTTTGAAGTTGAAAGTTGTGCTCCGTAAAACCTTCCACCCACTTCGAGCATGGCTGCCATCAGGGCAGTTTAGCAAAGCAAGGAGCAATTCCAAAGCCCAGAAGCGTTTTGCCCATACTGGCTATATCACATGGAGCTCTCAGAACAGTCTGTTCCTTCATTGTTGTTCTGCCACAGACTATGACCAAGCCAGGTGCAGTACACTAAATAACAGTCCCACAAATAAATACCAGATTTAACTAAACTCTAAACTCTGAAACCAGCAAATATTACCCTGTACGGAAATGGAGTCTTTGTGGATGTGATTAAGTTAACAATCTTGAGGTGAGGGGATGATCCTGGATTATCCAGGTGCAAAGACAAGTTCTTTTAAAAGGGAGGTGGGAGAAGGTAGTGAGACCAAAAGGTAGAGACCGGAGTGATGCGGCCACAAGCCCAGGGACGCCTGGAGCCCCCAGGAGCTGGAAGAGGCAGGAAGGAGCCTCCCCTGGAGCCTGCAGAGGGAGCGCGGCCCCGAGACACCTGCGTCTCAGACTCCTGGGCTCCGGGACTGGGGGAGGATGAATCTCTGCTGTTTACAAGCAACTGCAGTTACGGAATTTCTTGCACCTGTTGTAAGAAACGAATATACCAGGTAACGCTGCCACACAGAGTCCTGATTGCCCTGCAAGGACCCATCCCCGTTGTGGTGGGAGTAACAGCTAAGGCCACCCACACCTCGCCGCATCCCCGCCCCACCCCAGCGGCCAGCACCGCGCCAAGCGTGCGGCCAGCGGCCCAAGTGCACTTACCCGGAGACGGTCTCCCAGTTGTTACTCCCACATACGTTCTTGCCCCTCAGGAAAATGGCATCTGGGTCTCAACTGTGAATCCTCCTGGGACCACTGCCACCACCCGCTCCGCCACGGGTTTGGGCATTTCTACGGCATGCCCTTCTCCATGATGGGCGACTGTGCCCGCTGGGAGCTGTCCGAGAAGCGCGTGGCCCTGGAGCGCGAGCTCAGCCTCTGCCTCCACGCCGTGGCCTCGGCCGCCCTCATGCTGGCGGCGGGGAAGCTCACCCGCCTGATTCGCCTCCCGTGGACGCCGGTCATCTGGTCAGCCGTCGCGGCCATCCTCCTCTTCACAGCCACGCGGCTCCTGGGGACTCTGATCGTGCACGCGGACTGCTTCCTGATGAGGGACCACTCCATCATGGAGCAGCCCATGCGCTTGCCAAGAACGACCTCCCTTCTTCTGCATGAGGTCGCGTCCTTTCTCAAAAGGTGGGTCAGCCTGGGAGTGAAACACACCCTAAATCGTTTTCTCTAATTGGTACTTGAAGAACGAAATGGCCATGACCCCCAAAACACTTTCTTTTTAATTTTTTTTTTTTTTGGTAAAACGGGGCATCAGTGATGGTCAGTTGAGCCCTGTGAGTTGTACCCATGGAAACGACGGTCCCCAACCTTTTTGGCACTGGGTATTGTTTTCATGGAAGACAATTCATCCACGGATTCAGGGGTGGGAGGGGTTCAGGATGATTCAAGTGCATTATTTCTATTATGATTACATTGTAATATATAATGAAATAATTATACAACTCACTGTAGGGTGGGGGCCCCGCCTGGAAGCATTGTTCCAGGTGGTGGGCTGGAGTTTGCAGCTCCTGTTCTCAGGCCGACCCCGTTCCATCCACAACCTCTGGTCCCCAGGGGACGTATGTAATGAACATAACAAACGGAATCACCTGAAGAGCCTTTGCAATAAATTAAATGTTACGCCTCTATCTATCCCTGAGGATATTCTAGTTAAGAGGGCCATAGCATCAGACTCCAACGTACCTGGTGGCCCTGAGTTTGTAATTATGTTGTACGGCACTCTCGGGGAGTCTGTGATGGAACCACCTGGGTAGGTAAGAAACAGCGTTGACAATTAGCCGGCAAATTGGAACAGGTGAGGACGATGTGTTCTACTTAACACTGAGATCTTCACCTTAACTTTTTTACTTTAAGGGTCGAGATTAGACCATACAAATAAGGTGGACAGAGGCGGACATACATCCTTTCATATTTCCTGAACCTCACAACTTCATCAAAATTATAAAGAAAACTTAATGTGTGATGTCACTTTTTCTTTTTTTTTTTTTTTACTACCTCTCTGGATCTAATCACTTTTTCTTTAAGCTAAGACTTGAGGTAAAAACATATACTGAAATAACTGAACAAGATAAATTTGTGGGCTCAGACAGTAGCCTGGTGTTGTTTTAACTTTCTGTTGTCATAAGTTCGTACTGTTAGAAAATTGTAATATTCAGGGAGAAAAAAATGCATAAAATCAGTGTGGACTTTTGAATAGATTTCCAAAGGGAAAAGCCATCACGTTGGAGATTCTTAAACACAAGCACAATTTCCTGTTGAACAACGGTTTTGTGCGTTTGCCCTCGATGAGCATAGTAAGAACGTGACAATTGTGATCTGTGTTTAGTGTCTACAAGACTTTGGTCTCTGTTTCTCCAACAAAGTGACCTTACTGGCTTTGCATTTATTTTCAGAAATAAGCAGAGACCTTTCCTTCTCCTTGTCTCGTTTCTACATGTGCACACTCCCCTCGTCACTACCGAGCACTTCCTTGGAAAAAGTCTCCACGGGCTGTACGGGGATAATGTGGAGGAGATGGATTGGATGGTGGGTAAGTACCTTGTCCACGTGGACACGCGGTGGTTCCCACCCAGCAACTGAAGCAGGGAGGGAAGTAAAGAATGAGAAGGTGAGATTGAGGGAGGCAAGACAGGGGAGGCAGAATAAGTACCGCCATCAGATCACATTTTAAGGCTTCAAAATATGCCAGTGTACACCTTCGGTCCATTTGTAGAGGATGAACTCCACAACGCAGGCATCATAGGCAATCGGATTTTGCCAAGAATGTCCACATCCTAGTCCCACGTGGGAGACAGAATAACGTCCCCAGAGATGTCCACGTCCTAATCCCATGTGGGAGACAGAATAACATCCCCAGATATGTCCACGTCCTAATCCCATGTGGTAGACAGAATAACGTCCCCAGA